CTGGGCTGGGGCCAGGCAGTGTTGTTATCACCAAAATATTCCACAAACTCCACATGCCAGGTTAAGCTAATCAGCCACAATAGCTCCCTAATCCTTTTAAGGACTGGATATGATCATGGCTTCTACTTTCCAGTTTATCCCAATTGTGTACTTATCCTGGTTTTCTCCCCAAACTGCATTTATTCCAGATAGTATATTTGGTGCTAAAACTTCACCCAATTATGTCTATAGTTTAGACTTTGATATACACGTGCACTTTATGTATCAATCCATAGTGGTTTTAGATCGTAAGTACCAAATGAGAAGGAACATGGTCTAAATTCTTCTATTTAAACAAACACAAATAGCTAACACAATAGCTTCTATTGTGTTCTATTTAAACAAACACAAACACAATAGCTTCCCCAGTTGTTACAGAGGCTCTTTTTTTTTTAATTTTAAGTTTTTAAAAAACATATAAAAAAATAAAAATAAAAGAAACCCACACCTGAAACTTATATGTTCATGTTGACCAATGTCACCCCAATCAATTTAATAAATTAAAAAAATTTTTTTTTTCAATTACAGAAACAAAAAAACATGGTGTCGAGTACTTCTTGGGGAGCAGAATAGGTTGTAAAGGAGGAAAAGGGATAGGAAGTTTCCCTGTGTGCTCTGGCAGCTAAGCTATGATTAAAGAGAGGAGGGAAAAAATAAGGCCTCACCTGGTGGTAGTTGGAGAGGTTGCTATGCATGTCAGCGATGTCCTCACTGGATACTTCTTTGATGACCAGAGTCCGATCATAGGAGATAAGGAAGCGACCATCACTGCCTTCACTTTCACTTGGGGGACTTCGGGTAAGAGATACCTGTTAGAGACACACAATAAGCCAGAGACTCTTTTCTTCCCCTTTTATATGGAGATGCAAGTCATAGGATAATGCTCAACTAAATATGTCTGAAAGTAGATAAAACCCTGGCATAACAGGTTGAGCAGGGTTTCTTAATCTGGTGTCTATATAGGGACTAAAAGTGGTGCAAAAAACTTTTTTTTAATCCTCAGCTGAGGACATGCTTTTTTGGGGGGGAGAGAGAGGGAGAGGGAGAGAGATAGAAAGAAACATCAATGTGAGAGTGAAATATCAATCAGTTGCCCACTGCATGCACCCGAACCAGGGATCAAACTTGCAACCTGGGTACGTGCCCTAACCAGGAATCAAACCCTCAACCTTTTGGTATACAGGATGACACTCCAACCAACTGAGCCACACCAGCCAGGGCCAAAAAAAATTTGTTGTTGTTAATCCTCACCTAAGGATATTTTTTCATTGACTTTTTAAAAAAATATGTATTTTATTGATTTTTTACAGAGAGGAAGGGAGAGGGATAGAGAGTTAGAAACATCGATGAGAGAGAAACATCAATCAGCTGCCTCTTGCATACCCCCGACTGGGGATGTGCCCAAAACCAAGGTACATGCCCTTGGCCGAATCAAACCTGGGACCCTTGAGTCCGCAGGCCGACGCTCTATCCACTGAGCCAAACCAGTCAGGGCTCCATTGATTTTTTTAGAGAGAGTGGAAGGGAAGGAGAAAGAGAAAGAAACATCAATGTTAGGGAGACACATTGATTGCTTGCCTCATAGGCCCTGCGTGGGGCCGGGAACCGAGCCTGCAAATGAGGCACTGTGCCCTTGACCAGAATCAAACCTGAGACCCTTCAATTCTTCAGTCCGAGGGCTCTATCTACTGAGCCAAACCAACCAGGGCTGAAATTTTTAATGTATCTACATTTCCCCCCCTCAAGGTTCATAGTTTCAGCAGATTTTTAAAGATGTCTGTGACAACAAGGTAAAGAATCATACTTGCTAAGGCTCTCATTTCTCCAAACATGGCTGTCACAAGGCTTCCCCAGTTGTTAAGGAGAAAGGACCAACCTCAGCCCATAATAAACTCTCACCAAGTAATCCTGGTCATCAATGCCAAATCGATCACGGAGGTTCCTGAAGACCTGGGGACAATACTCCTTGAACTTGAAGTGACTGGGCAGATTTTCCCTGAAAAGGGGGTTTTCAAGGTTAAAAAAAATCCAAAGTAACAATATTACCTTACATTTATGGAGGGCTTGACAGTTTACAAAGCACCTTCCCATATATTACTTTATTTGATTCTCATAAAACCCTTGTGAGGTCCTTTAAAGGTATATTATCCCTATTTGATAGAAGGGGAGGCTATGGTTCAGGATAGTTGGGCGACCTGCTTAAGTCACCTGACTAGTAAATGACTTAAGTAGAATTAGGTTCTACTGCCCATCCAAACAGCAGCATTTCCCAAATCTCCACTAAGTAAGAGACATCCTAAAACTGGCAATACATGCCACTTTTTAGAATGGCATCTTCTGATACTAGGAGGGTTTAAAGAGATTTTTTTTTTCAGGGAGTCCCTATCAGAAACTAATGGTAATGGCATCCAAATGAATTTACTCTATGGAATTGCTAGGCAGGAGACGAGATAAACTAGTACATACATATAAGGGTGTAGGGGACACTGAAAATTATTTTCATGGTTTCTTTGCACAATACTGAATTTGTGCACTGGGAAGGAGGTTAGACAATACAACTTGTAAGTTGCCTTCTAAATCTAAAACCTTCAACCCATTAAATCTTAATTCTTAAATTATTTATTCTTTTCTACAAAGACTGATGTGAGAAGGGTGGGAATTCCCACATACCTGTGGAAAAGGTGATTGTTAACCTTGATCTTGGAGCTGGCCTTAAAGTCATCTGGCAGCAGCATCACAGGGGGAGGCACCTGGCTGAGCTCATTGATCTGATAAGCCAAAACAAGAATGGGGAGTGAGTGAGTAGGGGTGTAGAGAACTACTCATACACTGTGTCTGGGCAAGAATCAGAAAAGGGCAACTGAGCAAGTGTCAGAAAAGGGCAACTCAAACCTCATTCTTTTAAAAAACACGGCTCATGCATTCATTTGACCGAGGTGAGAGAGACTGTCTCTGAGCTCTTCTGCTGCCCAACAAGGACTGCAGGGAGCAACCCTCACACAGAGCCCCTCACACTCCCACCCCCGAGGAACTTCATGCTCACAACAGTCATTTTATATCAGGCAAACCCTGTAAGCAACTCAGGACTATTTTTAAAGCTTGAGAAATTCTAGAGAGAAAAAAATTTATCCTCAGCAGACCCAAGACAAACAGTTCCATGCTCCATTAAAAACAAAATAAAAGGCATTTTTAAAAGTACACAAGAGAGTTAATGGGACTCTGAGGGGTCAACAGCAGCAAGAACAAAGATGTCCATAGCCTTCAGGAGGCATCGCCTTACAAAGAGGACCAGTCCTTCCAGACCACTCTGACCCAGTTCTCTGCAGGAGGTCCCACCTGCCTAGGTGTAAAGTAAAAGAAGAGCAGCTGATTTAAGAGGGAAAGTCAAGCCAACCCACAACCAAAGGATGGATACATCACATGCTTCCTCAGCCTCCAGAATCGGCAGTCTGCTGATTCAGGGTGGAAAGGGGGTTCCTGAGAAGATGTGCCTTCTCCCCAGTGTTGCCACGGAGTCTTTCACCCACTTGTAACAGTGCACTTATCATGTGCCTAATCGCTAGTTTATGTAAATTCCCCGTCTAGATTGTGAGCTCTTCCAGCACTAGGACCAGTGCGAGGTGCCTGCATCTCTGAGCTGCCTAGCTAGCAAAATGTCTGGCACACGGTGGTCTCCCGGTGTTTATTAAATGAATAAAGGGGATGCCTTGCCTATCCTTACTTGAGCATCTGACAGAGGTTATGAAGTGCAGTCTAATCTAAATCCCATACACTGCCGTGAAACCCAAATCCTTTTATCCTTGGTAGAAAATGACAGATCACAGTCCTGCAGGGGGGAAAAAAAGCCACTTGAGATTCCCAGCCTAAAATTCAGCTATCGTACTTCATGTCCCCTCTGCCATCGGCTGTAATAACACAGGCTGAGTCATCGCTAAGACATATGTTCAAAGAATTTCTCCATCCCAAACACTTGAAGTAAATGTGCACTGGCTGAAAGGTAGCATGTTGAGACTAAAGTATATAGACCTAGAGAAGCTGAGGCAGGTCTCATGTGTAATTCCCTTAATTCTTAGTAAAAGAAAACCCTTCTTGTTAAGCTTCCCAAAGGGATGGATGAGTCACCTGGAAGGTACATATGAGAGGTGGCCCCACCTCCATCAGCCTTGCCCATACCAAGTGCCTTACACTGATAAGACATTACCACCCAGGCAGCTGGGAGCAGTCCACCCAGCCATGAATGCAAAAGGGAGCTGACCCCAGACAATATTTTAAGCCACAAACTAAGAATGTGACAAACTGTATTCTTCCTCAACCCCTTCCACCTCCACAGCCCTGCCATACTGTAACAATTCAAGGAAGCTGATATATAAAATACTGCCTGTCACACGCAAGGTCACTGCATCCCTCCCACTCCAGGTCTAAGGGAAGGGTGCCACGGCTATGATTCCTTCCCCTGAGGCATCCTCAGCAAAGGAGAAGCACTGGCCGCGCTGGCCTCCTCCCGGGTCCCAGGCACACCCTCTACAGCAGTTTCTAAAGTTCACCACCACGGTGTCCCCATGACCAGAGCTTCTCAGCCCGCTCTTTAGTCCAAGAGGACCCCCACTTACACCAAACACCATCACCCCAGCCAACAGTGGGAATGCAGTTCAGACCACAGGCTGAGTGAGCGCAACCACGAGGCTCAGGGAGGGGTAGCTTCTCTGAAATGCTGTACCTCGGAAGGGAAAGGAAAGGACAGCAGGATTAGAAGGTCCGGGAAGCCTGGAGCTTCCCGCAAAGCCAAGGTTCCAAAGTCAAGGACGCCAGCTGGAAAGTAAGGTGGAAAGGGAAGTGAACGATTCCCCCCCCCCCCCCCCCCCCCCCCCCCGGCCAATCCGGCTCCCCTCCCGGATCCAGCTCCCCTCCCTGCTCCCCTTCCACACCCTCTCGCGGAGACCTCGCCACCAGCCCAGGAGACCACGCCCCCTAAAGTCCTTCCGGCTGGAGCCGGGGCCGGCCGGTCTCCGCAGCCCGGGGCTGTGGCCGGACCCGGCAGGGAGGCCGGGAGCTGGAGTCCGGGCGGGGAAGGCGGAACTAGCGTGGATGAGTAAAGGGTGGCGAGGGAGACAAGTCTGCGGAGAAGGAAAAAGTCTAGAGTGAGAAGATACGGCTGGAGGCTGGTGAGCAGGGAACAGGGCAGCCCGGCGGGGAAAGTGGCAGCTCGAGGGGCACCGGAGACGGGAGCCCGGAGTCAGGGGCGCCCCGAGGCGTAGGAGCTTGAGGGGTTCGGACGGGGCTACCGGGGGCCGGGGCCGGGTCTCACCGAGTGGGCTACGCCCCACAGGAACACGCCCACCAGCGGGTCAGCCGCCCGGAACACCTTCACCTTCTGCTGCACGAAATGCTTCTTCTTGGTTTTGGAGGCGAAGCCGAAACCCTGGCCGGGGGCCGCTGTACTCGCCGGTACGGTGGCCGGCGGGGCCGAGGAGGACGCCATGGCCTCCCGCGTACCCGACCCAGGGGAACCCGGAGCCCGCCGCGATCGGGCTCCCGACCCCGGAAGCGGTGCTCACCTGAGCCGCCGTCACGTGACCGGAGGCGGGCGCGCGGGGCGGGGCGGGGCGGGGCTGGCTCCGCCCCCTGGCCCCGCGGGGGCCCCAGGCGCTGCGGTGGGTGGGCTCACCTGGCGCTGGGGCGGCGCGCGGAGGCCGTGTCCCCGGAGGCCGCGCGCGGCCCGCGGGCCCCTGGCAGGTCATCGAGGCCGCGGGGGTGCGGCCTGGGCCGCCTGTTCACTCCAGTCGGGAGCTTCTTTGCTGCAAAGTCGCCGCCTACTGGTTTTGCCCAGTTTCTAGGAGTCACCTCCCGGCTGAGGGTAACCCCGAAGCATTTAACGAAATAGAACCCTGAAATGATTTTAAGGTATTAAACGTGCCTGGTTTTAGAAGGGTCGCTCCGCCTCGTTCTGGAGGGTGCCTGGAGTGCTGCCCAAGTCTAGGCACGAGATGGTGAACTAAAACAGTAGCTGTTATGATGGAAGGAAGGGATGGCATCTGAAGGTCTAGTTTGATGTCCATTTGGAAAATTCTTAGTGATATGGGGGTTTGAGGGAAAGGGAGACAGAGAGAATGAATCCCAGGCTTCTGGCTGAGGTGACGAGAGATGGTGGCCACATGAAAAGGTGAAGTTTAGGCAAAAAGAGTTCAATTTGGAACATGGCCCACAGTTCAGCAGAATGGTCCGTGCTGGGGATACAGAGTTTATTGTTGTGGAATATGTGGGCATGGATGAGATCTCTCAGAGAGGGCAAGGAAAGAACCAAGGGCTGGACCTCGGCGTAAACCAGTACTTAAGAAGCCTGAGTTGGACCCATGCACCAGGAAGTCACCGGTTCAGTTCCCGGTCAGGGCACTTGCCCGGGTTTCAGGCTCCATGGCAGGGGTGGGAGGGGGTGGGGGGGTGAGGGGTGCAGGTGTTTCTATCTTTCCCTCTCCCTTCCTCTCCAAAAATTAAAAACAAACTAATATATATTTTAAAAGTTTTTTTTTTTTTTTTAAAAGAGAGAGACTTCTGGGAAAAGGCTGAGAAGGGGTGGCCAGAGAAGTAAAGGAGCCAGGAGAGCGAGCAGGGGCACAGAAGCCAAGAGAGTGGCGTGTCAAGGACTGAGTGAAGAGCACTGTCAAATGTTGCAGAGAGGTGAAGCAAGACAAGGATGGAGAAGTAAGTGCCAACTGTACTTGGTAACTAGTGACCTTTGGGGCAGTTGCACCAGAACAAGAGCCAGATCAAGGTGGTTTGAAGAATGAGTGGGAGGGGAGGAAGTGGGGGCAGAAGCCTGGGACTATTTTTTGAAATTTGGTTGTAAGAAAACAAGTAGGGAGTCTCTTACAGAGAACCACACAGTAAAGAGAGGGACTTTTAAGGGAGACCTTAGAACAGCGGTTCTCAACCTGTGGGTCGCGACCCCTTTGGCAGTCGAACGACCCTTTCACAGGGGTCGCCTAAGACCATCCTGCATATCAGATATTTACGTGACGATTCATAACAGTAGCAACATTACAGTTATGAAGTAGCAACGAAAATAATTTTATGTTTGGGTCACAACATGAGGAACTGTATTTAAAGGGCCAGAAGGTTGAGAACCACTGCCTTAGAAGGAGAAGGGAAGCCCTGGCTGGTAGAGCTCAGTTGGTTGGGCGTTGTCCCATGCACCAAAAGGTTGCTCCTTGAATTCCCTGTCAGGGCACATGCCTGGGTTCTGGGCTTGATCCCCAGTAGGGGGCATGCAGGAGGCAGCTGATGGATGCTCTCACATTGATATTTCTCTCTTCTCCCATCCTCTCTCTCTAAAAATCAATAAAAATATTTTGAAATAAAAACACAAAAAAAGAAAAACAAGAAGGGAAGAAATAATTGAGACAGAAGTTAACAAAGATGCAAATTGCCCAAGTCTGCATCACTTTTAGTTATCCTATTCTATATAATAAAAGCCTAATATGCTAAATGTCTGTTCGTTCAACCAGTCAGTATGACGTGCACTGACCACCAGAGGGCAGATGCTCTGACCGGTAGGTTAGCTTGCTGCTGGGGTCTGGGCAATCGGGACTGGGCAAGAGGGCCCGGACATGCCCTGGAGCCCTCCTGTGTTCCCTCCTGGGCCAGCCAATCTCCCACTGTCCCCCCCTGGCTGGCCCCCCTCCTCCCATTGCCCCTATTGGGACTGGGCGAGACAGGCCGGACACGCCCTGGTCCCTCCCTAGTGGGGCCCTCAGCCTGGCCTGTGCCCTCTCGCAATCCAGGACCCCTCGGGGGATGTTGGAGAGCCATTCGCCCGATCCCCGCAGGCCAGGCTGAGGGACTCCACAGGTGCACGAATCTGTGCACTGGGCCTCTAGTTTTATATATTAAGCTCTGAGTGTCTCAAGAATGAAAGATCTAGAAAGAACTTGCTTTAACCTAGAGAAGGGAGATTTATCACTTGTCAGAAGGGAGAGAGAAAGGAAAGGATCTGTGCAGATATATGTAAGTAAGAAGGTGTGTCTATGAGGGGGGGATGAAGAAGTTCATGTTCAATAACCTTAATTTTCCCCTTTTTTTAAAAAAATTTTTTTATTGATTTTTTAGAGAGGAGAGATAGAAACATCAAAGAGAAACATCAGCATAAATTGGCTGCCTTTTGCACACCCCCTACTGGGGATCTAGCCTGCAACCAGGGCATGTGCCCTGACCAGGAATCAAATCATGACCTCCTGGTTCATGGGTGGATGCTCAACCACTGAGCCACACCGGCCAAGCTAAAATTTCCCTTTAAGGCAGACAGAGTTGTTGCTAGTGAGAGGAAGGTGAGAAGGGGTCTTGAGGAGTAAGGGTTTAGACTAGTTGCCCTGGGGGTAGGAGAGGAAACTGTAAGGATAACGGAAGGGAGGTTAAGCAGCATGGAAGGTCCAGTTAGGTTTGCAGGCTGTTCGTTTTTAGCTGCCCCAGTGTTCTGATTGTGCAATTGTCTCCATTCATTTCAGCAGCTTTGAGGCATGAGTAGAGAAGACAGGTAAGGGCATGCTCTAAAATGGGGGTAAGGAGGGTGATTGTGGTAGATGGTCATGGGACAAAGAACTGAGCTGTTTGCAAAGGCAGGATAGAGACACACTGGAAAGGAACAGAATTGATGCTGGGACTGAGGAGATGGTCTGGGGTGGAAATGAGAACAGGATATAATTTTTTTTGTTAAAAATTACCAACAACTACCTGGCCAGTGTGGCTCAGTTGGTTGAGCATCGTCCCCTAGTCCCCTATACCAGGAGGTTGTTGGTTCGATTCCTGGTCAGAGCAAATCGATCCCCAGTATGGGGCTGTAGGAGGCAGCTGATCAGTGATGTTTCTCTCTCATTGATGTTTCTATCTCTTTCCCTCTCCCTCTCCCTTCCTCTCTCTGAAGTAAAAAAAAAAAAAAAAATTAAAAAATAACCAACAACCTAGAAAGATGACAATAGCGGAATGGTTGAATAAATTATAGGATAAATAGCGCTGGCCAATTTATGGTGGTTAGAGCACCAGCCCTAGCACCGAAGGGTCACAGGTTTGACTCCCAGACAAGGGCACATACCTGAGTTGCAGGTTCAATCCCCAGCCCTGGTCAGGGCATGTGTTGGAGGCAACCAATTGATGTGTCTTTCACATCTATGTTTTTCTCTCACTCTCTCCCCACCTTTCACTTTCTCTAAAAACCAATGAAAAAAATATCCTCAGGTGAGGATTGACAACAACAAAAAATTATAGGGTAAATATATGAAATTATCTATACTAATAATAGAGGAATATGCAAATTGTCCAGGACACCGTCACAGTATCAGTAACAACCAAACATCAGGCTGTGTGGGGTGACCAGGCCGCAGGGGGGTTAGTGAGGGACAACCAGATGACTAAACAGCAGGCTGTGTGGGGCGACCAGGCCAGTGGGGGGGCAGTTGGGGGCGATCAGGCTGGCAGGGGAGGGCAGTTGGGAGTGATCAGGCTGACAGGGGAGCAGTTAGGCGTCAATCAGGCTGGCGGGCGGGGGCGGGGGGCAGTTAGGGGCAATCAGGCAGGCAGGCAGGCAGGCAAGTGGTTAGGAGCCAGCAGTCCCAGTTTGTGAGAGGGATGTCCGATGTCCAACTGCTGATCGAACATCCCCCAAGGGGTCCCAGATTGGAGAGGGTGCAGGCTGGGCTGAGGGACACGCGCCGCCCCCCCCCCCCGCTGTGCACAAATTTCATGCACTAGGCTATCTGTGTCTCTCTCTCTCTCTCTCTCTCTCTCTCTCTCTCTCTCTCTCTCTCTATATATATATATATATATATATATATATATGAAGGTAAATCTATGTATATTGGCATGAAACAATTCCCAGGATATATTGTCAAGTGGGGGAAAAACACTCTGTGTGTAAATATATAGAAAAACATCTGGAAGGATATATACCACACTATCAAACGCCATAATATGCAAGGAAAGGAGAGACGGGAGGGAAAAGATTTACACCACCATACAGCCATCATTGAATTTATTTTATTTTAAAGGTATCTATGTACATCAAATAAATACACACTGGGGTTTGTGCATTTTGGTTTGTCTTCCACACTGGCATGCAACATTTGGCAGATGTGAGTGGGCAGGCCAGGGGCCCCTTGTGGTAACCCTGGCTCTCTGAAAGGGATGCAGTGAGTGTCGGGGGGAGGAGGAAGATGTAGAGTGAACCTTCTGGTGAAGGCTTTGTGTGTGTGTTGTTTCTGATTAATGTAAGTGAATTATATTTCTCTTACATCTTGCAAAAGAGAAGCCTGCTTCCTCTGTCACCTCCCTCTGTATCTGCCCTACACCTTCACATTTTCTTATGTGTTTTAAAAGAATCATTTGGTGGCAAGATTATATAAAACCCACTGGATTCTTAAATGCCCTCCCGGCAAATATTAGCACAAGTCACAGGTGCACAGGTATCTTCTTCCTCCCCAATTGGGTCTCGCAGAGAGGATAGCTCATCCACCCACCTTTTCCCTCTTTGCTGTGAGTTGCAAGCTTAGGACAGGGAAGTCAGATTGAACTCCATTCCTCAGAGCAGTGGTTTTCAAACTACTCTACAGAACTCCCAACGTTTCTTAGGACTGTTCAAGGACTCCTCAATGAGTGAAGCATTTACTACCAAACAAAGAAAATGCAAACTGCCCAGGTCTGTATCACTTTTAGTCATTTTTTATAGTAGGGTTCTATATAAGACTTCTTATGAAAAATGTTTGAATATCACTGCTTTGGATTTATTCCACTTCCCTCTGGCATTTCTCTCCTCCCCACTGCATTTCTCCTTAATTGCTAAAAGGGAGAAAGGTCCTCTTTCCTTGAAGGAGCCCTGGGCTAACACAGCCTGTACTTACTGACTTGCACTCACAATGAGCTTTCTTTCCTGACTTAGAAGCTAGGGGATGGTTGCCCTGCTGCTGGCGGATCCTGTTCTTCCATCCTCGATAAGACTGGATATCTGGGCATCAGACTTCCTTAATTTGGACTGGCTTGTGACCTCCATTCTCCATCCCTGCAGTTACCTGGAAAACCACCTTAGCACCATGTAGAAGGAAAAGACGTCTGAAACCAAAACAATAGTCCTATCCATTACATGGGGGTTGAGGGGCTTGGGGGAAGACACCCAGTTCCAGCCCTGGGGTTCCTCCACCTCTGGAAAATCTGACCTGCCCCTTTTTTAAAGTGCACTTACCAGATGGGGATATTATAGAAGGAACTCTTTGTTAAAAAAAAAAAAAAAAGTTTAAGTGTATATTGGGGAAAAGGCAGGCTCCAGCTTGAAAGAAAGGCATCGCAAGGTAGACATTTTGCCAATGAACTGGAAGCCCCAAACCAAAAGCTGGAGATGGGAAGAAATGCATCCCAATATGGGGCAGAGAAAGGAACCCAGCTCATCACCATGGCAAAAATACTCAGGAATTTCCCAGCCTGCTCACCCTCAACCCAAAGAAGCACTCATTTGACTATGCTTGCCTGCAAATATCATTGTGGACAGATGACCAACTATTTGACTGTCAGAAGCGTCTGCCTCCTCAACCTTTCAAAATATTTCAAAGCACTGTAGGTTCTGGTCAGGAACTCTGGGATCCAGAATATTAAAAGTTTTGAGGAAAAAGGGAAGCGGTCCCTTGAGCAATCTCTGTTCTTAATCATCCAGGAGAGAACAGGAAGAGGGAGGCAAAAGGCAGACCTCAAAGGGCAGAGGTGCGTACCTGGAATCCCTCGATTCGGGTGAAGGGTGTATGAAGAAAATTCTACATATAATTTAGTAGTCCTCTCACCTTACACCCCCCCCCCCCCATGCTATATGTGAAAGAGGAGGGAGGAAGAAGAGTCTATTTCTGTATCTTTTTATGATGTTAAGACATTCTTCTGCTTAAGGCTCTGTGTGTGTGTGTGTGTGTGTGTGTGTGTGTGTGAAGGGTCGCAGCCCTCTACCTCCCGTTTTACCTTTTATCATCTCCATGACTAACACCATACAGTGTGAGAGAAAGAAGAGACATTTGCCCTCCTCCCTATTCCCCCAAATGAGGAGGGTATACTATGTTTAGAAATTGCTAAATACATCATTAAATACTTAGAGAGTAAGACAGAAGAGAGACATAGTAGCAGCCTTAGATATATAGATACAGAGTACAAAGAGATACAGAGTAAGAGAAGACATCAAACATAGTATAGTCGAACAACAAGGGTTGGGGAGGGAGTTAGCATCAGAGACCACAGGTTTGCAGCATGCTGAGAGAAGAGGCCTCAGTCCCTCTTAGAAACTGGGGAGAAAGAGAAAGAGGTTGTGAGCAACCACCTGCAGCCCAGCCACCGAATAGGGACAGGGTGACATCTGTACAGACTTTGCTTTACAGTTCTGTCCCTTTAATACCAACAACCGGACACTGTCCTCCCAACCCTCTTCCTCCACCCCCGATTTTCCTAACTCCTCCTTCCCCATTCCTACTTCTTTGCTTCTCATGCCTTTCTGCCTACATGTGCCGGGCCTACTGTCTTGGAAAACCCCTGGTGACGGCTCGGTTTGGATGCAGCCCAGTAGGAGACTGGCTGTGCTCTCTCATTTCCAGTCTCCAAGGACCCAAAGTGGACCAGAAAACAGGATCACAGTACCCAGTTCTGGGCCCTAAAGCAATCGTGGCCAGGAGCTTGGTGACACACAAGAACCAGGAAGGTGCCTGTGCTGCTACAGGAGGGGACCTGGGGCCTGAGGTGGAGAAGGGAGCGGGGCTTGGATCGGGGGACACAGCTGTTTTCCACCTCCACTGAGCAAGATGAGAGAGGAGTGCTAACAGTCCTCTAACAAAAAATTAGACTCTTGGGGTATTTCCTAGAACTCATTGGTAACATACAGATATAAGAATAGGACACAGGTGCAGGAATAAATCAAACATCTCCTTTACTGGAGATGTCTTAGAAAATACCTATCCACCCAAAATTATTTTAAGGTGGAAGCAGAGGGAGGGTGGAAATGATCTCCCAAGGTCTTCTAGGTATCTACCCCAGTTCCTGGACCTGTGTGTGGCTCTGAATCCACCCCCTCACTTCTTATGACGTGTGGCAGTGACCCCTAGTGGCAGAAAGGCAGTCCCCTGGTTACTCCTCTGGCCAAAAGGAAAGTATACCAGTGAGGGGGAAGGGAGATGAGTGTTCAGAGGACTTGGAGCAGCACAGATGTGGCCCCTACAAGGGAAAGGCAGGAGTTGGGGACAACTATGTAGTAACAGTTTTGAGATTATTAAAAAAGTGGAAGAAACAAGAGGTGAGGGCAAGAAAGCAGGCAACCTGCGGCTGGCCAGAGGGAGAGGCCTGAGCTACCTGAAAGTGCAGGTACGCAGCAGTCTGTGTGGGAGATTAGCTGGCTGCTGTCTCTTGGTGGAGAGGGAAGATCTTGGCCTGGTCCTCAGCCTCATAGCCGCATGGCAGGTCACTCCTGGAAGAAGAGACCCAGCATCCTCAGCACTGTCAGCTCCGTATATGAAAGCGTTCCTGTCACCGTGCTCTCACAGCATTCCTGTGAGGCAGTGCAGGGCGGGACTATTCTGGTTTTACAGGGATACAGGGAAAAGCAAGGCCAGAGAGATGGGACTGACTTGCTCAAGTCACAACGTTCCCAGAGGTAAGAGAGAAACCAGGGCATCAAGTGTCCGTGGCATTTTCCACCAACGCCCGTCACTGGGATGGGGAGAAGCCTCAGATGGGATTGGAGGAGGGGGCAGTGTTCTGCACCGAGGCAGCGGGGGGACTGGATCTCCTGGACAACACAGTGATGACAAGAAAGATTCTCATTTCCTCCTCCTTCCCCAGAAGGCTCCAGGGAACTTCTAACTAGGGCATGAGGGACATTTAATAATTTCTTCTGGTCCCACCCAGAGAACCCAAGAGCAGTGGGGACGGGTGTACCTGTTGTCGTTGATATCTGTGGCATTTCCTGAAGAGATCATCATTGACAACACAGGATTAGAAGAAGAAAAAGGAGATTGGGCATTAGAAACAGTCTCCCCAACCCTCTCTCCTAACTCCTTAGCAAGAAAGGTAACACTCTTTGGAGCCTAGCTGCATCGGGGTCTGTGGCGCTATATCTACAGCTGCCCCTGCTGCATCCTTATGCTGAGAAGAAGCCTCCCGGGTCCCTCCTGCAGGAGAGGAGAAGGGGAGAGGAAGGTCAGGGCGGGGACAGATACTGTAATGGGGGGAATCCAAGCCCCTGAAGGGATGGGCAGGGTGCCAGCTGTAGGGACAGGGTCACTTACACTTTTCAACTTGCCCTGGGGACCCTAAAGGCTGGTGACCCGTCTTTCTCACTCACCGTTGTCCATGCTAGCCTTCTGGTAGGAAGCCAAGGTGCCTCCAGAAGACATGGCCCCATTGCTGGCACAGGAGTTTGCAAAACTGGATGGAGCAGAGCAGAGAGATGCAGCCTCTGGCACATACACACCGCAACCCCCCCCCCCCCCGCCCCGTCACTATGCCAAGGACACGTCCACATCCTCAGGGATGGAGCCATACACCCCGCCACTCCCCCGAGAATAGAAAACAAACATGGTCGATGGCTGGGAAGGCAGATGCCCACCTTCTAAGGATTAATGAGAAAGAATTAATGAAGCTACTTAGGAGAAGAATCACGTCTCCCCCAATGAGTGACCAAACCTTATGCCTTATAGGATCTTGGGTTGGGGTTCCAGCTTACACCCTTGGTCACTCACTACGTATCTGAGGTGGAGCTGGGTGCAGGCTGCAGGTACAAATTCTGGTAGTTCTGGAACAGGCTGTTGGTATAACTGATGCACTCGGGGCTGCGGGTGCCGTAGGGGTTGGTGGGTGAGGATGCTGGGTAGTGGCCAGGCCGGACGGGTTTGGCTATAATAAAGGAAAGTTGGAGTTGAACTGAGTTGCTTGTAAGATAATTTACTTTTATATTTTGGGGGGTATGTCTGGGGGTGGGCAGGTAGAGTAAAAACCAATGATGTAGTTGCTTGACACTTAGGAATTTCCCCAGATGGTAACCCCACCTTACCTATTGCCATCCACTCCTCACTCACCAATCTGGGCAGAATGGCCTCTCTTGCCCGAGCTCTTGTACCGAACGGCCTCCTTAATGCGGTCTACCTCCTGCTGGTACCGGCGCTTGTCCTTCATGGCGCCCTCCTTGGCCTCCTTCAGTGCACCCTCCAGGGCCTTAACTCTCTCAGCCGTAGCCCTAAGTCGTTTTTCCAATTTAGGAAGCTCACAACGCAAATCTGCATTGTCACGTACCAGCTGGGTGAGCCCAAGGGAAGAGGCAGAAAGAAAGGCAAGTGACCCAAGACAGAGCCAGCCATGGAGTGTGGGGCAGGTGGGGAGAGAGAATAAAGAAAAATCGAGTCAGAGGAGATGGAGACCACGTTGTTTTCCCAAAAGCCTCATTCCCTTTACCTAACTTGCTGTTTTAGCCAGTTCTTTCCTTCTCCCTGAGCAAACGATGGTCAGGCATTATGAAACGTCACATTGTTTTCTGGGCAGCAAAACGTGCCAACTCCACTGTAGCCCAGAACTCCTGTGATAGGGCCTGTTCCAGTCTCCTCCTGGCCTAGAGATGGCCCCCTCCCCCATATCTTCCAGCTTGTGCCAAACCAACAGCCCCAGGGCAACCATGGGGATGAGGCACCCCCTCGCCCAGGATGGCTTTATGGGCATGCACAGGGTGGGGCAGCGGGAGCACAGTAGCAGTGTGCCGGGTGGATATGGCATTGAGTGCAGGTGCGGTACAGAGCAGAGCAGGAGCAGAAGCCGGAATACAGGAGCCCCACTTCCCCTTCGCCCCCCCACATACACACAGTGCTCCATAAGAAGGAAAGAAAATGTTTGAGACTCACAAACATTTGTGCTCATTACCTTCACAGTCAAGGATTTCCTGAGCTGTCCCTCCCCCATTTAAATTAAGCTACAGGGAGCAACCACCTTGAAGCCAGAAAAGATGTCCTGACCTTTTTACAGGGCCTCACACATGACCAGGGGCACTGTAGTTGGCCACAGAGCCGGCCTTGGAAGAGAGCAGGGGAATCAGTGTGACTGGCAATGCTGGGAGAAAGGACAGAGGTAGAAATACTTCTGCACCCCTTTAATTTTGGACAGTTTACAGATTACAGTGTTTTGCTGGGGCAATAGCTTAGTTCAATTAGTAACAGGTTGTAGCCTTCGCCATTTAAGCTCCGATTAGTGAAGACGTTTCTACATCTCATTTTCCTTTTTAGCCTTGTGCCCGCTGAGGTAGGAAATTTTGAGGAGTCCTCTCTCCTATGAGTGAGTAGCCTTTGGGATTTGGAGCAGAGGCGCGGGCTTCACTGGGGAGGGGGTCGGGGGGGGGGGCAGCCTGTGGTTTCCTGACGTAGCCACAGCATGGATGAGCATGGAGGACACGCTGAGTGACATAAGCCAGTCTCCAAAGGACAGATACTGTGTGACTCCACGTCTACGAGTGGTCAAAATCATAGAGACAGGAAGGAGAATGGCAGGTGCCAGGGGCTGGGGGAGCAGGGAAGGAGGAGTTATTGTTAGTGGACACAGAGTTTCAGTTCTACATGATGAACAGAGTTCTGGAGAAAAAATGATTAAAGTCGTAAATTTTGTTATGTGCATTTTACAGTAAAAATATTTGGTGGGAAAAGCAATATAATGTGCATCTTGATGGAGAAGGAAAATGAACACGCAGAAATTAAAAAGTATGGCAGAACTGATAAATGTTTCTTCCCTGTCTTTCAACTTTCCTATAATATTATATATTTTTTTAATAAGCAAAGGGAAAGAGATGGCAGCAAAGTCCTCTGCAAAGCTCAAATAAAACAAACCCTGCAGACTACCACTGGGCCTCAGTTCTGTGGTTTTTGCCATTATTTCTTTTTAAATGTACTGAGTGTCTACTATATGTGCTGGACAGTGTACTGGGAGGAAAAGAAGTTTAAGGTCCAGTTTAGTGAGAATATGAGCTTAAATGGAATTTTAAAGTGGATTTGAAAAGAAGGGAGTAAAATTGAGGTAAGGGTTTATTTTATGAATCAGTTAAAAGAGCCAGCTGACTGCTGCACCTGTCTTCAAGGCCCAGCTATTTGGCTCTGTCTGCACTGAACATTTCCGGTCCTGACCCCTTTGGACTGCCCACCTACCTCCCCACCCCATACCTTTGACACCCAGTCATCCACTTAAGGAACCGCAGCAGCAAGGAGGGCGACAGAGAGGCAGTGACTTAATACACAGGGCCGACTGGGCCTGGATGGGCCATCTAGAGCAGCGGTTGCCAACTGGTGGTCCGCGACTCACTTAGTGGTCCATGAGGTCCGAAAGGTTGGCGACCGCTGATCTAGAGGACATCATTGAATTTCCCTGCATGCCTGCCCCAGGCCTGGGCCGATGGAGTTCTCTCCGTCTCTCCCTGTGAGAAAGCCCAACTTCCCTGGCGGCTTCGTGTCTCGCTGCTTTCTATCTCTGGCTAAAATCTGACCAGCATCCCTTGTGTATAGTTACAGCCCATGCCTCCGAAACCTCTATCCATTTCAACCTTTCACTCCAACAACATAGGCCTGGGGATTCCACTGGAGCAAAGGCAGGTTGGGAGCTTTGAGGAGGGAAAACAGGCATGGAAGAAAGAAAGAGGTGAAAGCGGAATCAAATCTGGTATAAAGAAGGCATTAGTGGGGAAGGTAAGGAAAACATGCCAGTAGAGTTTCCTAAATCCAAGGGGCCTCCGAGGATTTGGTATCCCAGGCACCTGGCCTCAAGAGTTCTCTTCACTCCTTCCACCCACTCTTACCTGTTTGTGAACCTTTGTAAGCTGTTCCAGGTTGTTCTCAAGAAAGGAAATCTTCTGCTTTTGGGAGTGAATCCCCCCACTGTCCTCGGGCTCCATCTCTGCACTCTGATTAAAGACAGAGGGAAAGACGTGGCTGTCCTGAAGCCAAACAGGTCCCACCCAGACCAGGCCAGGCCGGCCCACAGGAGACCAAAGGGCCGGAGGACCTGAGAACAGGCGGAGAAGACGGGGGCTAGGAAGAGCCCGAGCGAGGATGGCACTCACTTTCTTGACTCGAGTCGTGACGTCTTGAACGAACAGCTTGCGAAGGTTGTGGAGGGTCTGGAGTTCACGGGCCTGGAAAGAATGATGAAAGACTGGGGTAGCCAAATACCAGGCCAACATTTTACTCTGAAATTACTGGGCCCTTCAGTCTATCCAGTCAGGTGAGTCACTCATCCTTTAGGAAAAGAGGGTCCTAATTATGCCACAGACTGACTTTGCAGCGGGCAGGAGGAATGGGGAATAGGAAGAATCGGGGGAAGAGACGAAGCCCTCCACCCCGCTAACTCAGCACAGACGGGAACCACTCACAACGGTCTCCTCCAGGCCCTTGAGGTCCTGCTTGGACTGCTCATGTCGCTCGTACAGAAATCTGGGGGAGGAGGAAAACAGAAGATTCTCTCAGGATTCTCCTCCCGCCTCCATTCCTTTTACATTTATTTTTATTACCTATTATACAAGTTACCCATGTCCACTGTGCAGAAATTAGAAAAGGTGGAAAAAAGAAAAGATAAGCAAGACGAGTTTCATAAAAAGCTCATGATTCTACGACTTACAGATCAAACCACCATTAACATGCTGGTGTCCTTCTGGCCAGACTCATTTTTCTATTCATGTACAGCCCATAAATATTTTACGGGACCACTAACATACTGTTTTGTAACCTGCTTTTTACACTTAACATCACAAACATCTTTCCCTGTCAGCTAATATTCAATAGAGGTCCCTTCTGAAAGTCTCCTTTTTTCCCCCTTCCCTACCCCATCAAATTACTCTTTGGAGGCATTTGCTTCCTGTGGTCACCATATTCACATCTACATGCACCCTGCCTCTGCTGAGTCAGTCAGCCTCTGTGGCTGCTGGGCTGCAGGCGCCCCGGCACTCACGTCAGCTCCTGGAGTTTGGTGCTCTTCTCCTGTTCTTCGTTCTTCAGCTTCTCGTAGTCGGCCTGAAGCTTCTCCAGCTCTAACTGGAGCTTCTGGTTCAGGCTGTGGAGGGCAAGAGGTATGGCGACAACCAAAGGATGTGAATAACGGAGAAAGGGAAGACCAGCTCCTCAAGCATTTTCCCTCTTGAACGAGTGAGTCCAGTTAGATTTGATGCATCTCCCTTCAGATGTAGGCAGGCTCAGGCCACTGTTTCCATGACAGAGTAAGGAACCCTGAGCTATTTAGTCAGAAGAGCCTCAAGGATTGGGAGGAGGCCTTACTCCTGTGCCTCCTAGAGTTGGGCTGCAAAGTCGTGTCATTGTTGGGGGAGTGACACATGGAAGTTAAAGAACAGGATCTGAGGGAGCACTTGAGTGGGCACAGCTGGGCAGGAGGACCAGGCAGAGACCAGAGCCGCCCTCGGGAACTCTTACTCTTTGAGCTCATCAATGGTCTTTTGCTTCTCGTTGATCTCGTCCCGGAGCCGGGCCAGCTGCCGGTAATGGGCCTCCCGGTGACTCTCCATTTGCAACTCCAGGGCCTTCTACAAACAACACCACCCCAAGCTCAAAGCCAGGTTCCCCAACACCAGCTCAGTGAAGGCCAGCACAGCCCTGCCAGGCCTGCCATCCCCCCACCTTCCCTACTCACCTTCACTTCGTCTGCATCCTGTGTGTCCGGCTCCTTGTCCTTCAAGGCCACTTCATGCACAGTTTCTAAAAGAGGGAAAGACGGCTCACACCGCACCTACCTCCACCAGGACGAACTTCATATTGTGACCAGACCTCAAGGCAGGGCAGGGCACATCTACCCAGAATGGGCCCACAGGGATGTTCTTCTGGGTTAGGACAGCCCAGTTGGATACAGCAGGGACAGAGACAATGGAGTGTTATGGTTCGTGTACAGTAAGCTACATGCAAACACTTGCTAAGTAGCATGTGAGTTGGTCTCATGCTTTCGGGGAGTGTGCCCTTGGGTGGTTTCTTTCGATGTTTGTCACTTTCAACTCCCTGCCCCCTCTGGGATCTCCTATCCCAGGATGGATGGGTTGGAGGTTTAAGAAGGCCTCACCTTGGGCCTGGAGCTTGGCCAGCTCATCACTCAGGGAGTCATAGGACTCTTCCAGGTGCCGCTTCTTTAGCTCCACGCTCTGCATGTATTCCGTAAGCGAGCGGATCTTGGCCTCGTGCTGGTGGGGGAAGGGTTGGCGAGAGGAAGAGGATGGATGGAGCAAAGGTCACCACTCTGGGCAGCACAGACCTCTGTAAACTCCAGCTCTCTTCCCAGGCCCTCTGCTCCTGCTTTGCCTTCCATGAGGATGCAAAGTCAGGGTCCATGCTTCTAGAGATCATTTCTTTAGACCCCATCAGCTTAGAGGCCAGTATCCCTGCTGCGCCTTCACTTCTCTGGCCCAGACCCTCCCCTGCTACCCCAGCTCTTCTGTCCTTGACTTCAGTTGGCCCTAGGCACCTGACATAAAGGTAGGTGCTAGGAGTTTTATCTCATAACCACAGACTCACACTCTTTCTCCCACGGCACCCAAAGGCTCTCAACCTCTGCCACTCACCTGGGAGATGAGGAGCTGGCAGGATGAGAGCTCCCGCCCAGTCACCTCCATCTTGCGATGGCATTCAACCTGGAGGTTCTCCAGCTGCCGGCACCGCTTGACCACAGACTTGACCTCCGATTTGATTTTGCTGATGTAGAGTCGGGCCACGGTGAACTCCTCCTCAATGGCCCCACTGATCTCCACCGGCTGAAGGGGGCAAGGGAGGGAAGAGGTGCTCTGCTGCAGGAAACCTTTATCCATTCCCTTCCACTTTGCTTCTCCCCGCACACACACATGCACAGGGACTCAGGCGGGACAGGTGTTTTCCGAACAACTTTTAGCAGCTCTCTGTCACCTGGCATGTCACGCTAAACCCCTCTCCCTGCATTCAAAGATCCAATCCCAACAGTCCCCCGCTCCCATCTTATAAAGCAACATGATTTTCTTTTTCAGTCAAACAGTTCTGCTTGATCACCCACATGGGTCATTGTCCTTGCCACAGATTTGCATATATCATTTCTCACTCTGTGCCCCCATCTCTAACTCCTGCTATAACCACATCGCCATTGCTGCTTCTTCCTTTTCTTTTTTTTTTTTTTTTAATATATTTTATTGATTTTTCACAGAGAGGATGGGAAAGGGATAGAGAGTTAGAAACATCAATGAGGGAGAAACATCGATCAGCTGCCTCCTGCACACTCCCCACTGGGGATGTGCCCGCAACGAAGGTACATGCCCTTGACCGGAATCGAACCTGGGACCCTTCAGTCCGCAGGCCAACGCTCTATCCACTGAGCCAAACTAGCCAGGGCTAGAGAGACTTTTAATAAGAGTTGATTTGAGCCAAACTGACCACATAAGCCAGAGAACGGTCTCACATGCTGTTCCATTGCTTCTTTACTTAGCACCCTTTAGAAGGTATATTTTCAGCTGAGTCTATGCAAGCCTCTACTTGTTTTCCTGGGTCTAGTTTGAGGGCGTGTTTCCTGGCTCTGTGGCCCGCCTCTCTCAGTGTCCCTGACAGCCCGGATTCTCCCGTCTCGCATCTCCCACCAATGCCCAGAACAGAAAAGACCTGAACAAAACTGCCGCCTCTTTCTCCACTCACCAGCTTAATCTCCCCGTTGCCCACGATGACACTGAACTCACTCAGGTCCTTCATCAGCCCATTCAGCACCTCAGCGATTCGTTTCCGCTGGTGTCCACTGACTTCCTGTAGCCGCTGCAACTCAGACTCCAGGGACAGCATGGTGGCCTGGGGACAGCCCCTCCGTCATCCCATCGCCATCTTCCTGTTACCCTCCCCAGCCCAGGCAGAGGCCTCTCCCTTCATGCATGACCCTGATGGCCTCTGTGTAGAGAACACAGACCCTGCAGAAGGGCCTGGAGGAGGGAGGGGCAGGGGGACAAAGCGCAGGGAGCAGCTGTGGGAGGGTCTCACCACACTGAACATCAGTGCAAAGTGCAAACAGTGCAGCCCCGGAGGGAAGCAATAGTCCCTTTGGATGTAGAGGATGTCCTGAGGCCAGGGAGCTCCTGGGCCCCAGTCGGCCACTCACCACCTTCTGAGACAGCTCATCCACCAGAAGCTGGTTCTGCTGGCTCTTTTCCTCCACCTCCTGGGACTTCTGGTCGTAGTTGACAGCCAGCTCCTCCAGGGCCTGCAGCACTTCCTTCACCTCATCCTTCGCAGCGTCATTCTCTGACTGCAGGTGGCTCAGCTCCCGCTGGACCTTCTCATTGTCTCCTCGAGTGGACACCAGCAGCTTCGAGGGAGAGGGAGGCATGTGAGGGAGTCTGCTGCCAGTGACCGCTTCTGTGACCCCTGCTCTAGGGAAGCTGAGCCCCCGCCCAGGCACAGCTCTAGGAGAGAGGCAAGGCCCAAAGTAAGAGTCCAGAGGAAGTGGGCTCTAGGCTTCTTAGGAATAGGGCAACAGAATGAAGAAGCACTGAGATGCCATAATTTGAGCTTTAAGCCAAGCCCCAATTAAGTCCCCAGACCTCCATAGTTTTAGGGGTGACTAAACCCTAGCAGAATGCCCCTTCTCCCATCTGATTGTAAGGTCCTTTCTATGCCTTCCAGGGACGAACACAACCCCCCTCTCCTCTCACGTCTTCCCTCCTCCCCATTACCTCTTCCTGGTCCAGCATTTGCTGCTTGAGCTTCTCGATCAGCTGGCTCTGCTGGTTGATCTCGTCGTCCTGTTGGAGCAAGGCGGACAGATGGAGTAAAGGGATGGACCTCTGGGGTTGAGGGAGAGACAGGATGTGAATACAATCCAGATTGTTTAGGTTTTGAGTTTGAAAAACACACAAAACACCATATCCTACAAAGATGTCTGAATTCCCTCAATTTCTTTCCTCAACTCCTGCCCTCACTTTAAATTCCTTTTTTCCTGGGAGTTGGTATAATCTTGACAGTACATAACAAAAGCTTTAAAATATTCCTATCTTTTAACCTAGAAATCCCCTTTATCACTACATTCTATCCAAATCACTCAAAAGCAAAGTCTAATGCAAAGTTAATTATTATAATAGCAAAAGCAAACAATACCAAAGAAAAGTAGAAGCCCTGTAGTAAGTGAATGGTTAAATACATTCTAATACACAGACCGTTAGGCAGCCATTTTAAAATACTTTTATGAACAACTGTTAACAAAGTAGGAAATTGCTCCTGATAGAATACTGAATGAAAAAATCGAATGCAGTTACATACACAGCATATCTCAATTACATGGTATATGCACAGAAAAAGGCAAAATATTAATAGTGCTATTTCTGAATGGTGAGATGGTGGATGATTTTACTTTCCTTCTATGTATTTGTGTTTATCTCCCACATTTTCAATAATGAGCATTTACCCCTCTTAAAATCATATAGAGCAGTATAAGCTAATTTTTTTTTTTTTTTGGTTAATCCTCATCCAAGCATATTTTTCCATTGATTTTTAGAGAAAGTGGAAGGGAGAGGGAAAGACAGAGAGAAACATCGATGTGAGAGAGAGACATCAATTAGTTGCCTTCTGCACGCATCCTGACCAGGGCTGGAGGAACCAGCAACCAAGGTACGTGCCCTTGACCGGAATCAAACCCGGGACCCTGCAGTCCATGGACCGACATTCTATCAACCTAGCTAAACCACCTAGGACATAATTTGTTAATCCCTCACCTCTCCTTCCACTGGGCTCATCTCTTGCCCTGCCCGATTGTCCTCACCTTGTCGTCCAGCTGCTTGTAGAGGCGGCGGATCTCCTCCTCGTATTTCTGCCGCTCCTCAGGCGCGATGCGCACCACGATGGAGGAGTTGTCGTTCACAGGGGTCTCCTCACAGATCTCTGCTCCCAGAACTGCATCCTCACCAGCCAGACGCTCTGTCTCAGGCACATTCTCTCCTGGCAAAGGGGCAGAACAACACGAGGGGTGGGAGAAGGGGAAGCTGCATCCACCAGTCCTTCTCCCTCACTGCTCAGCACCAAGACCTGCAGGCCTCCATCGCTCTTGCTAAGTGGACCTTTTCCAGGGTCGGGGGACATGGTAGTCAGGCTCTCTCCCTTTACCTGATGGCCGCCCCACTGCACCTCCCCATGAACACAGCCTCCTTGGAGATTGGCCTGCCCTGAAGCGCCACCCCAGACAGGGCTCTCTGGCTCCCTAAGCCCCTCCTCCTCCCACCACCTCCCTGCCCACAGAACTCCTCTCTAACCATTGCGCCAACGGCTCAGCTCAGCCTCCAGTTTTGCAATCGTCTCCTTCTGAGCCTTTGTCTTCTCCTTCTCCTTCTCATATTTCTTCTTCCACTGCTCAGCAGTCAACTCCAGATTCACTGAGGCAGTGTTCTTAATGGTTTTTGCCCTGGGTGAGGAGAGGGGGTCAAGGTGAGGAGGTCTCCCTTACGGCTTGCCTGATGCTGGAGAGCGAGAGCGGTGGGGGCTGGGCAGGGGGCTGGGGACCCTGCCACTGACCGCTGCCCAAACATCAGGGTGGACTTGGTCTCCGCATCGTTGTAGCTGGACGGTGAGCAGCAGATGAACATAGTTGTCCGGCAGTTTCCTCCCAGAGAGTCCTGGAGAATCCGTGTCATTTTGCTGTCGCGATATGGAACGTAGCTTTTCTGGGGGAGGAGGGAGATGTGAATGAGAAAAATAAATTTAACAGGGGAATCAGAAAGCAGAGTGGAGGACCGGGGATCGGGCTGTCCATGAATAGGGGCATGGTCAAGGGCAGCGTTAGGGGAAGGTGGGAGATGAGGGGGAGCTTGAGGGTGAGGAGACCTCAGGACACTCACAGTGCCCTCGGCCAGAGCAGAGATCACGTTCCCCAGAGCCGACAGGGACTTGTTGATATTCTTTGCCTCGTCCAGCACGGCTCCCTCTGCTCCAGTCTTGCTGACCTATCAGGGCATTAAGGGGCAGGTGTGTCACGAGCCACTGCAAAGGGAGAGGGCTCTCGCCACCTCCCTTTATAGGGGGGCTCAGCCCAAAGAGGGGAGAGGACATGGAAAAAGGACAGAGAACAGAGAAGGCCCTTCCTCGATTCCTCTAAATTCTTTTGCCAAAGACCACCCCCTCCCACCTACATATTATACATATTATATGATCCCACTTATGTGAAATGTCCCGAAAAGGCAAACCCATCAAGAAGAAAGTAGGTTATCCCTATGAAGAACTGAGGGTGATCGGCATAGTCAAGAAATGTGTGCCCACCTCATCTTAATTTTCCCTATTTGCTAAACAAATTTTAGATTGTCTGCCGCTCTGTACACCCCAAAGTCTAGGAGCATTAAGATGTGTCAGTCATAAAACCTAAGACATCAGATCTGAATACCAGCACCTATTAATTTTGGCATTTTCAAGTAAGAATGTACATTTGCTGGATATTGGTAACTCTTGAAAAAAGTCTTCAAGTTCTAGTTTTTTGTAGGGGGCATTCCTTAACATCTCATGTAGACTACTGAAACTTAGTCTGAAGCACAACTGGGCTAAAGTTGGTTTTAGGACCATGTCCCTGACCACATGGAAACTCGGCTCTAAGCCCATACATTAAGAAAGTTACACACTTTATTCCAAACAAATATTGGTTTGTGTGGTAGCTTTAGAGCCTTACTCAGTTGAGATTCTCAGTTAAACATTAAGTCTGTTGTAACTTTGATAAGTATTTCCGCTTTTGTTATTTAGTAGTGGTATATTTGTGTGTGTGTGTGTGTGTGAAATGTCAAATCCTGTGACCATTTAAAAAATAAAATACATTGTAATTTAAAGTGGGGGAAAAAAAAGAAGAAAGTAGATTAGTAGTTGCCAGGGGACTGGGGAGGGGATTGTTAATGGGTGATGAAAATGTTCTGGTCCTAGCTGGTTTGGCTCAGTGGATAGAGCGTTGGCCTGCAGACTGAAGGGTCCCAGGTTCAATTCCGGTCAAGGGCACATGCCTGGGTTGCAGGCTCAATCCCCAGTAGGGGATGTGCAGGAGGCAGCCAATGAATGATTCTCCCTCATCATTAATGTTTCTATCTCTCTCTCCCTCTCCCTTCTTCTCTAAAATCGATTAAAAAATATTTTTTTTAAAAAGAGAAAATGTTCTGGAATGAGGGGTGATGCTTGCACAACCTTGCAAACATCCTAAAAACCACTCAATTACACACTTTTAAATGGTGAACTTTATGGACTATGAATTATGTCTCAATTTTTTAAAGTTAGTTTGATTTTAAGAAAAGGACACCTCCCCGCAAGGCTTCCTTCCCTCCCCTCCTGACCCCCACAAGACCCTAACCTTCTCACTGCCAGCCAGGTCCACCAGGTACAGCTTCCCACTGAGCTTCTGCTCGGTCTCCATGTTCTCCTGCTTGATGTTGATAAGGAAGATGCTGTGGCTGCGAGAGCTGTGCTCATTCATGTCTGCAGGAGGAAGGGAGACACAGTCCTGGTACCAAGCCCTGTGGACGGAAGCCCTCGGCCGGGCGTCGCCTGACCACTACCCCTACCAGCCAAGAGAGAGGGTCCCACCACTACATTTCCCAGGCAGCAGGGTCGCACAAAAAGGTCCCTCTTTGCCCGGCCAGTGTTGCTCAGTGGTTGCGCGTCGACCTATGAACCAGGAGGTCATGGTTCGATTCCTGGTCAGGGGACATGCTCGATCCCCAGTGTGGGGTGTGCAGAAGGCAGCCAATTGATGATTCTCTCCCATCACTGATGTTTCTATCTCTCTCTCCCTCTCCCTTCTCTGAAGTTAATTATATATATATATATAAAAGGGTCCCTTTTTCTCTGGAGGACACTTTTCCCTTGCTCTCTCACGAGTCCCTCAATCCCCACAGGCACAGAGGGGAGGCAGACCCCAGAGTCAAAAGCCCCTTATATCCCCACTCACTGGTGACAGCCACATGACGATTCGATTTCCCCTCATCAATCACATCTAAGATCTCCTCTGGGCTGGACACAAAGCGTTCAGTACAACCCTGCAGGGGGCAAATGGATAATAACCCATAAACTTTGATCTGCAGATTAAATGACCTGCCCTTTGACAAAATGACCTTTCTAGATAATGTCCTTTCCGAGCCCCAGGCCCTCCCTGGGCCCTGGGCACACCTCAGCCCTCCAGGAGACCCACCCTCCAACTTCTGGGTCACTGGTCTATCCTCCTTCCATATCCACCCCCATTTGGGATACTTTGGCCCCACTGGGTGCCCCACCCCACTCTCACCTTGACAAACGGCACCCGGTTCTTGTCCTCATGCACAGACAGATTTGTCTTAGTCACTGAATCAAGACAATACAGGTGAGCAAGGCCAGCACTTCCACTGCGCCCCCCGCCCCCCGCAGCCTGGAGTCCACTCAGATGGTGGTTTCTTCTATGTGCAAAAGGGAAGAAGACTCCCTGTGAAACCTAAACTCCCTGCACAAACTGAAGACTCGGCTTCTCCTCCTCCAGGATTCTAGCCCCAGGGGTCCAGCTCGTCTCAGACTATTTATATGCAGGTCTGGGCATCTGAGCTCATCCTTGGACCCTTTTCGTTTTTGGAAATCTTGGTGAGGGGAGTCAAGGGACACAGGTATGGATGTGTGTGCCTTGTGTGCCCTCTGCATCTTGGCAAACAGTGCCTAACCCCAAGAGCATGTGGATCTTTCTTTTCCTTGCCCTTCTCACACCCCCGGCCATCCATTGGGGTTAAACACCACTCACCATCCAGAAGGTCACGAATTTTGTCCAGGTAAATCTCAAAGTAAGAAACCTGGTTAGGGAGAAAGGAGGAGTATGAAGTGAAGAGGGCCTCTCTTAAGTATGAAGTGTCAGAGCGCAGGTAGTTTTAATTTGCAGGTAATTTAAATGTGACCTGCTGCAACAATAGTAGTGGGAAGAAAAGAGCAGAAGAAATTATCTTAGGGGAGAGGAACTGAGGGAACCAGAAGAGAGAGTAAGTTGGAGTGCCCAGGATCTCAGTGAGCTCATACTAGATCTTCCCCTCCCAGTCCCCATCTGAAGATGCCCAGAGGTCATGCCCTGATCACCTTGATGTGGAACTCAAGGTTCTCATCCATGGAGTAGATGTGGTTGAAGATATCGCGGGCAATTCGAGGAATGATTCCCATCAGCTGGGGGTCGTGCAGCTTTCCCTGGGGAGTAAGGGCATGCTAGAATAAGGCTGGAGCTCAGGAAGAATGAGACGACGCAGAGGTATGCAGGTGAACACGAAGGTCATAGTCGAGAGGAAGCGTCCTAAGTGAGGAGATGGTCACTGCCCGTCTACCTTTGTGTGGAAGGGGACAGAACTGAATAGCCCTTTGAACTTTCATTGTTGCTGCTTTTCTAGATCAAAAAAAGGAAACTGGAGTAGTGGGAAGGAGGGTAAGCTGCAACAGGCTGAAGGGATTGCGTTAAACGTGCACTAGATCACTGCTCCTCAGTTCATCCTCTGGACTCAGCTACCTCTGGACCAGGCAGCCCTTGAGTCCTAGCCCTTCCCGCACTGAGATTTCTTTGTCTCCTATTATCACCCCATTTCTCACCCTCCATGGAAATCAGACCCTCACCTCCATAGTATGTGTTTTCCCTGAGGATGTCTGTCCATAAGCAAATATGGTACCATTGTAGCCAGCAAGGACATCTGGAAAAGACGGCAGAGAAAGAGGACTGACTGGTGGAGAGAAGTGGGATAGGGAATGGGGAGCCTAAACACATACATTCAAAAATACATCCATTACCTTTGACAATCTGCATGGCACATGCATGATAAACTTGCTCCTGGGTCGTGTTTGGGGGGAACACGCGGTCGAAGACATAGGGCTTCCCCTGGAGCGGAAATAAAAGATGGCAGACTTGAGCAGGCAGTGTGTGAGGGAGAGGAAATACTGAGACCTCACCCATCAGCCCGAGGAGGCACTCGTCCTTCAACCATCCATATGCATGGACGACCATGGCGATGAGGGAAACGAGAGGAAAACAAAATTTAGTATCGACGCCAAGAGTTGTGTCCATTGGTAGAGGGTGCCATTGAGGAGTGCCACTCTGTGAGATTGTGTGAGGGGGCCTCAGTCTGGGTGTCATGACGAAGCGCCCCACTACTTTGGACCCCCTGCCCTGGGAAACCAAATGGGAAAAGACAACAGGGCATAGGCCTTGAAGAGTGCCGACAATTCATTAACATTAAAAATCTACCCAAATTAAAAAATATCTTCCTCAATAGATCCATATGTCCTGATATGCAAAGACTTTAAAAAAGTGTTAAGTGAAAGATACAAAGTATATATGGAGAGAGAGGGAGAGAGAGAGAGAGAGAGAGAGAGAGAGAGAGAGAGAGAGAGAGGGTTCCCTATTGAAATATACATATATTGAGCTGCTAAGATGTTATGGAAACATTAACACAGCTCCCTTAGGATTGTATGAAATCATAAATATGGGTCTACCTTTAAGGAATTAGCTTTAAGTAAGGAGAAATTATGAAGCAAGTCACTCAGACCTTCAGGTACTTTGCTTAACACACTGTATGCGGGAAACGTATTTACACGTTTTACGTTGACTGGCAGTAGAGCGCGGGACATGTATTTTATAGACGCGGGATACGTTTTTTATAGACTAGCGGTAGAATGCGGGTAACGTATAAATATGTAAACTAAAGTTATCGTAATTTTACTGAACATTGCCATTTGCGCAAAAAATTAGCAAAAATGGCCTGCGCCACCTGTTAGTGCGCAATAAAAACTACCCGCAAACAATGTGTTAATTCAGGTAACATGTTATAAATCATGGTGCTGATAAGAATGCTAAAGGTACAAAATATTGCCCTAGCCAGTTTGGCTTACAGTGTATAGAGTGTTGGCCCGCAGACTGAAGGGTCCTGGGTTCAATTCTGATCAAGACACATACCTTGGTTACAGGTTCCCTGGCCCTAGTCGGAGTGCATGCAGGAGGCAACCAATCGATGTATCTCTCTCACATTGATGTTTCTCTCTGTCTCTCCCTCTCCCTTCCACTCTCTAAACATCAATGGAAAAATATCCTTGGGTTGGGATTAACCAAAAAAAAAAAAAAAGATACAAAATATTCACAACCCAAGGAGACAAACAAATAATATATTTGATAGCTAATAATTTTAAAGGGAAATTTTCTGGTAACATTAAATGAGACTATGTTTGTTCTCCATCATGTGACAATTTTCTCAGTCATGCCCAGCCGGCGTAACTCAGTGGTTGATGTCAACCTATGAACCAGGAGGTCACAGTTCGATTCCGAGTCAGGGCACATGCCTGGATTGTGGGACATGCAGAAGGCAGCCAATCAATGATTCTTTCTCATCAATGGTTTTCTACCTCTCTCTTCCTCTCTGAAATCAATAAAAATATATTTAATTTTTTTTTCTCAGTCTTGTTTTCCTGCCATGCAGTACAAAGCGATTATGACTTAATTGTCAAATTGTTTTACTATAGAGCCCATCTTCACTTAACTGAATTATAAAGCTCTAAGTCTATGGACACCAGAGTTTGGGGGACATGTTTTAATAAAACTTTGCTAGAGCTGGAATGTGCATCAATATACATAGAATTTTTTTTCTAGAAGGAATTACACAAAAGTATGACCAGTGTTCTTTGGGGAGAGAAAATGAAAGAGAGAAGGCTTTCATTTTTCATTTTTTATCCTGGATTGCTGACATCTTTAAACCATGTTTAATATTATATATTTTTTATTAATGTCAAAGAGGGCGAAACAATAGTGCATTATTTGGTTTCCTTCTTGTTACTTCTGTACACAAAAGAAAACTAATAAATATTATTTTTAATATTAAAAATATTTATTTTTCGCCAAAACCAGTTTGGCTCAGTGGATAGAGCGTCGGCCTGTGGACTGGAGGGTCCCGGGTTCGATTCCAGTCAAGGGCATGTACCAGGGTTGCGGGCACATCCCCAGTAGGAGATGTGCAGGAGGCAGCTGATCGATGTTTCTCTCATTGATGTTTTCAGCTCTCTATCTCTCTCCCTTCCCCTCTGTAAAAAAATCAATAAAATATATTTTTAAAAAAATATTTATTTTTCATAATTAAAAATGAAAACAAAAAATATTTAAAAGATTTGAAAAATATGGCTTATAATAAAATTCTACCTGAAATATTTATCTGGTCTCTCTGTGGTGAAAGCCTAGTAAGCCCCAAAGCAGAATCCACCAAGAGGAAGAAGTTGGGGAGGCGGTCTCTACGATAAGGGAAAACTGTAAGCCGATAGAGCCGTTCTGGAGGACAATGCTATTAAAGATTTAAATGTCCATCCTGTGTGTACTCTGTAGCAACAATTGCACTGCTAGGAATTCATTTTACAACCCTTGCTTAAGCACTGAAAGATGTTCATTGAAGAGATGTGTATTAAAGAAAAACTAGAAACAATTTAAACATCCATCAAAATGTTGGTTATGAGACCTCTATATTCTACCCCCATTAAAATAAGCCAGATTGGAAAAAATAATAGTAAGCCAGGTTGGTTCACATATATTATATATCAAAGATCGGTTAAGTGAAAAAATAAAAACAATGTATATAATGTGATTACATTTTTCAAAAGGAGTATGGATAGAATGACCTCAGGAAAAAGATATGGAAGACTATATACAGAACTGTTAGTGGTGGCTATACTGGAGAACAGAATGGCAGGAGCATGCTTAACTCCATTTTTTCTGTGGTATCTAAATGTTTTACAATGACAACATATCACTTTTATTTTATTCTTTTATTCTTTTTTTATTATTGATTTTAGAGAGAGGAAGAGAAAGAGAAACATTGATGGGCTGCCTCCTACACACGCCCTGACTGGGGATTGAACCTGCAACCTGGCTATGTGCCCTGCTTGGGAATCAAACCTGCCACCTTTTGGTGTATGGGACAATGCTCCAACTGAGTCACACCGGCCAGAGTCAACATACTGCTTTTAAATTAAAAAAATAAAATATAGATGATGTTATAAAATATGTAATGATATGGCAAGGTATAATAAGCAAAAAATATGGTTTTTAAAATAGTATCAGTGTAAAAAAGTATGTAAAGAATGATTCTATTTGTTTTTAAGAAGAATATTTTTTATACTTTGCATAGAAAAAAAACATGTTAATAGTGATTATCCTTGCAGAGTGAGGTTTTAGGAGTTTTTTTGTTATTTTGGATTTAGATTTTAATTTTTTCTAGAATAAAAAACCCATAATTTTAAATAATAAAAATTTAAGTTTTTAAAACAACGACATTGGAGAACCAAGATGGCGGCATAGGTTAACGCCGGAGTTTGCTGCTTTGAACAACTACTTCAAAAGTGAAACCAAAAAACGGAAGGGACATCACCCAGAACCACAGGAACGCTGGCTGAGTGGAAGTCCTACAACTAGGAGGAAAGAGAAAGGCATACGGACACTCAGAGGAGGCGCAGTGCTGAAGTCAAATTCTGAGGTGCGGAGGGCGCAGAGCGGGCTGGCGGCGGAGGGCGCGGTTGGCGTTTTCAATCGGGAGGGAGTCGCAGAATCTGAACTCCAGATACAGGCGAGTCTTTAGGGACCCAGACTCAAACGGGAGAAGCGGGACTGTCTGGCTTTGGTCAGAGCGAGTGCAGCTTTCTCTCCGAGGTTTGCAGTGGGTGCTGGGACTCAGAGAGGCAGAGCCCCTGGGGACAGGACTGAGAGCCGCCATAACTGCTCTCTCCGGCCCACCCTGTTGATCCTGTGTGACCCGCCCCGCCCAAGCCCTGCACACAGGCATTTGCGGGATAGCCTCAGGCAAACGCTAGATTAGCACCTCCCTAGAGGACAGAAGTTCTCTCACTGCTGACACAGCTGATTCTCATAGCCACTTGGCCTGGAGGTCAAACCCTCCCTGGTATTAGCTACAACAATCAAGGTTTAACTATAAGACTGCGCACAAAGACCACTAGGGGGTGCACCAAGGAAGCATAACAAAATGCGGAGACAAAGAAACAGGACAAAATTGTCAATGGAAGATATAGAGTTCAGAACCACACTTTTAAGGTCTCTCAAGAACTGTTTAGAAGCCGCCGATAAACTTAATGAGATCTACAAGAAAACTAATAAGACCCTCGATCTTATATTGGGGAACCAACTAGAAATTAAGCATACACGGACTGAAATAACGAATATTATACAGACTCCCGACAGCAGACCAGAGGAGCGCAAGAATCAAGTCAATGATTTGAAATGCGAGGAAGCAAAAAACACCCAACTGGAAAAGCAAAATGAACAAAGAATCCAAAAATGCGAGGATAGTGTAAGGAGCCTCTGGGACAGCTTCAAGCGTACCAACATCAGAATTATAGGGGTGCCAGAAGATGAGAGAGAGCAAGATATTGAAAACCTATTTGAAGAAATAATGACAGAAAACTTCCCCCACCTGGTGAAAGAAATGGACTTACAGGTCCAAGAAGCGCGGAGAACCCCAAACAAAAGGAATCCAAAGAGGACCACACCAAGACACATCATCATTAAAATGCCAAGAGCAAAAGATAAAGAGAAAATCTTAAAAACAGCAAGAGAAAGAAACTCAGTTACCTACAAGGGAATACCCATACGACTGTCAGCTGATTTCTCAACAGAAACTTTGCAGGCCAGAAGGGAGTGGCAAGAAATATTCAAAGTGATGAATACCAAGAACCTACAACCAAGATTACTTTATCCAGCAAAGCTATCATTCAGAATTGAAGGTCAGATAAAGAGCTTCACGGATAAGGAAAAGCTAAAGGAGTTCATCACCACCAAACCAGGATTATATGAAATGCTGAAAGGTATCCTTTAAGAAGAGGAAGAGGAAGAAA